GAGTGCGGACCACACAACGCCAGGTGCCGGGCGCAGAAGCCTAAGGACGCTGCCTGGCCCCCCGCGTCCGCCAACACCCGAGGCCGGCGAGCGGCTCAGCTGCGCCGCGTCAGGAGCGGCTGCGGAGGAGGCGCCGCGCCGCGGGGGGCCGGACCTTCCAGCCCGATTGTCCTCCTCAAGTCCCCCTCCCAAACCAGCTAACGTCGCCCTACCGTTTCCAGAGCCAAGCCCACCTTTTGGCCAATCACCCTTTCCTGGCCCCACCAGGCCCCCCGAGGGCCTGGCCTCCGCCCTCCTCTCTGCTCTCCCCGCCTGCGCGCTCCCCGGGCCCCCTCTCCACCCTCGACCCGCCCTTCATTTCTACCGCGGTCTTCGCCCCCGACAGCTTCTCTGCACCGCCCTGGGGCAGCCTCCCGCCCCTGTTCACACTTCACTCTTACCCATCACATTGGTCCCACAAACTCACTCTCTTAGCATACGCTGTTACAGTGTTTAAAGTCTATTTTCCAGAATGTAAGCTCTATGAGGGCAGGACTCCTGCTTTGTCTGTTCAGTTTCGTGTCCTGCCTAGAAGGGGGCTGATCACGCAATGGGATCCCCGTCAAAGGGAGGGAGGGGGCGGAGGGGAGGGCGCGGGACGAAGGGAGAAAGGCAGGGCTCGCGTCCTCGGCTTTCAGGTTTGGTTAGAAAGGGTTACTCAATTTTCATTTGCCTGGGGCCCAATTACATCATCTCCTTCTCTTCTGGGGTTCCCAGTCCTCAGTCCTGTGATTGGCCCCTCGGAGGCAGGCTTTAGTTGGGGGAGCGAGAGGGTGGGCGGGTTAAAGGAGATCTTCCTCTCCGGTACCCGAGGCGCTGCGCTCAGAGCGAGACCCCCCGCGGCCCGGGGAGCCTAGGGCCCCAGTTCTGGGCGCATAGATTTCAGTATCTTCAAAGTCCATGTTTACCTTAAATATTCGTGCTAACTTCGTATATTGCTTCACATATATATATGTATTTTGATAAAAACGGCTCCCCCTTCAGATAAAAATTGAAGTTGGCACTTCAGGCAGGCAGGAGTGGAGGTAGGGAAGCGGGTTCGCGGGAAAAGGCTCTGGTGGTGGGATAACAAGAGGAGACCGACGCACCCATCTCCCTCCCTGAGCGACCTCTCCCGCCCGGTCGGAAAGCTTAAGAAAGGGTCTCTTTCCCAGAGTGTGTAGCAAATCCTGGTGCGCGTGCGCAGCGCGAGGGTGGAGAGGTCTCTATGCCAGGTGCCTCCAGGGCCCCTGGGGAGCTCTGGGGAAACCCGTTCGCTTGGAGCGGAGGGGCAGAGTCACCACAATTCTGCAAAGGAGCGGGAACGACGGATCTCTGCGGAGTGATGCCTTGCCCCCACTTGGTTTTGGAAATCGCAAGGTTGGTCCCCCGATCTACGTAACCTAATGGGGAAACTGAGGGCTACTAGTCCTCTAGCCCTGAGTCAATGCCCCAGATCTAGGCCTTGAGCTGCGGGGAGGAGGAGTGTTGGGGGAGCAGGGAGCAGGGGCCATGGGGCTGGTTTTGACCCGCGGAAGGCCGTCTGAAGCTATTTCCTACGCTCCGGCCGGCCCAGGCAGCGCGCTGCGGGCCCGGGTTGTGCCCAAACGCGGGCAGTGTGTGCGCTGAGAGGAGACTCAGGCTCTGCTCTCCGGGGCCCCACTTTCCTTCCTGATAAAGGAGTGCCCTGGGTTAGCAAAGCTCTCCGAGTTCACGTTTTTAGACCGGCCATCTCACCTGCGGGACCTTCCGCGGGGCTACTGCGCTCCGCGCCCCCTGCGGCGTTGCGCAGGTACCGGGCGACGTCGCGGTGGCCCCGCTGCTCAGCCAGGTCCACGGGCAGGCGCCCCCAGGCATCCCTCACGTCCAGGCGCGCCCCGGCTCGGTGCAGCGCCGCCACCGTGTCCAGGAAGCCCTCCCGGGCGGCGTCGTGCAGCGGGCGGGTGAGGGTGGTGGGGTCCGCGCGGTTGGGGTCCGCGCCGTGGGTCAGCAGCAGCTCCGCCACGCGGGGGTTGCCCATCATCATGACCTGCGGGGGAGAGCGCAGTGGTCAGCGCGCGAGCCGGAGGCAGGATTCACGTAAAGAAACTATTTGCGAAGCCGCCACCCGCTGCAGACGCCCGGACAAGCCACCGATGTCCAGTGGCCCTTTATTTGCTTTCAGTTACCAACTCTCCTGGCCAGTTCTCCTGCGCGTCCCACTTTCCCGTGCACACTGAACTCCCCCCATATCCTCCAACCTTTTGCAGAATCCCAGCCACACACACAACGCTGCTGGAGGCACAGGCCACGGCAAGAGGGAGGCGTGCACTTGCCTAACGTCCTGTGTGCTTCCTCCCCCCACTTTGATATAAAATTATGTAAGACCCAGAGATTCTGTATGGCTCACTGCTTTATGTACAAGCCCTTGTTAAAAACTGATAAATTAAAATAAACACACACACACAGAAAACAAACCTTAATCCTGGCAAAAATTTTAAGTTACTGTTAGCTTCCTGGAATATTAAACTTCAAATTCTTTTTTTTTTCTTATATTGTTAAAAACCTCACCTGAGGATATGTTTATTGATTTTAGAGAGAGGAAGGGAAGGGGGAGGGAAGGAGGAGAGAGAGAGGGGGGAGAGAGAGAGATGAATCATTTGCTTCTCACAGGCATCCCAGGCTCAAACCAAACCGAAACTTAGATACGTGCCCTACCCAGGAACAGAACCAAAGCCTTTTCCTGTATCTGATAACACTCCAACCAACTGAGCCACTTGGTCATGGCAAACTTCATATTTTTAAAGTATACAGTGAAAAGGTGTGTCTAACCAGTCCTAACATGTTTGCTGTAGTAAGCTATGTAAGTAATGTCCTCCAAAGATGTCCACTTCCTAACACTGGAAACCTGCGAATATATTACCTTACGTGGCAAAGGGAACCTGGCCGGTGTGATTAAGAACTTTGGGGAAGATTAACCTGGGTTTTCAGGGTGACCCACTGTAACCACGTTTCCTTAGAGGAGAGTCACAGTTGAGAAAGGGTGTGTGATCATGAAAGCAAAGGTCAGGGAGAAGATGCAGGGGCCACAAGCCCAGAATGTTATGGTCACTAGAAGTTGGAAAAGGCGAAGAAATGGATTCTCTCTTAGAACTTTCAAAGGAGCGCAGCCTTGTAGATCCATCCAGAACTGTCAAACAATGAACCCGTGTTGGTTTCAGCCACTAACGCTGCGGTAATTTGTTACAGCACAAACAGCAAACTAAGACACTCCGGCAGTTTACACTCTGAGTCCATTAAACAGGGGGTGCTGACTTCATTGGGTCTTAGATCATCTTTGAAACACAGTCATTACCAAAATGTCTATAATCACAGTAATCTTACAATGTGGGTGGTGGGTGGTGGTGGCAGACAACTCTTTTGTTTTAGGGTAACCACTATTTGGTTATATTTGTTGGATGATAGTGACTATAAAAAGGAGCTACTCATTTTAGTTACATTCTATATTAAACACAAATGAATTTGTCTAAACCAAGGAGCCATCATAAGTTACACTATGGTTTTGATTTTTGTCCTGGAGAAAATGAAAATGATTTAATTCTCAAAAAGACAGAGAGAAAATGTTAGCGAGCCAAATCAGAGCTCCAAAAAGGAAAGAAAAACTGTTGCAGAGCGATAGAGCAATCCACTGCTTGAAAGCTTTCATATTATTACATTTATCCAATGAAGTCCTTCATCATTTAACTGGCTTTAAATCTTTTTAGTATATTTTATTATGTTTAGTATTAAAGGATGCACAGTAGCCTAACATTAAAATATTTAAATCACAATAGCAATCCCATGAAAAAAGAAATAAATCTACGACAGGAATATTTGTAGGGTGCTTAAATTCGTTTGAAAAGACATTAAATTTAATTTAGTACTTAAAATTTTTTTTCTAGCAACTAAGCATTTCTATATTAAACACAAATTTGATTAGGGTTCTAAACCAAGATCATGCTTTTCCCCTATGTCTTCATGCTCCCTATTAAAAAAAAAATTAAAACTAATTATCCAACTTTTTTTCTTTTTGTATTTAAACAAACAAGGTCTCTTCTAACATATTCCAGAGGTCTAAGGCCAAGCTCCCAGTTTCCAAGCTGCTGGTGTTATTTTAGAGAGATCAAATCATGCACCAGGCGAGCATTCTTTTTCAAGGACACATGCTTGTCTTCTACGCTCAACCTCTTTAGATCCAGATTCTCTCCTCCCGTCAAGTCTCAGACAATCTCAAGTTTTAGGCACTTGCACTTTATTTTTATAGCTGTATTTTAAAGTGTATAAACTCTATCCTATTAGCTTGGTTTCAGGAAAGGAAGATTTACTTGCGAAGTTTGTGCAGTTCCAAGCAGAGTCACTTTCTTTTGTGTTGTGCTGCTGGAGTTTTTTTGCAAGATGCATTTGTTTTATATAAATTTTATTTTTCAGAAGCAGGTATCCATTGTCCAAGCTGAGACTAAAACTAGGATGGTGACTGCCCAGAATAATTCATCCTTAGCTTGAGATTTAGAAAGTTAGCGAAGGCCAAAAACAAAAACCTTAACCCCACCCAACAACAACAACACGGGGTGTGGGCAGAGGAGAAATGGCGTTCTGAAAGGAGAAACTGAAAACTATTTCAAATACGTTCATCTATAGCAAGTAGCTTAACAATAGCAACAATAATAGGAGATACAATAACTACATTGGCATTATTTCAGGCGAGGTTACACGACTGTTCTTTTTTGTTTTTAATGTTTCAGACCAAGGAAGGAAGAGGGAGGGTGGGAGCGCGTGCAAGAGCAAGAAACATGAACTGGTGGCTCCGAGAGGCACCCAGACCAGGGCGGGTGCCAGGACCGGGCACCCAACCGGCCGCCTTTTCTTGCGCTGGAGCCGTTCGTCTGCATTTTCCATGTTCTTACAACCATGTATTGGAAAACAAGCATTTGCTTTCCTTACTCAGTTAAATAATAATTAAAAAAAACCCCACAACAACGCTGTGTCGTTTCTTCTAAAGAATTTCGATTGACGTTTATTCCAGCGTACGGGGATCAGATGTCCCCTGAAATCCCTCCGAGGCAGGGAAACCCGTGCACCCGGAGCCTGCGAGTCCAGGGCTCAGTGATGGCAGCAAATCTTACTTGTTTTTAAAATCTTAAGTCTTACACCGAACGTCGGGAAGCTTCGCCCCCGGTAAGGAACAGGCTGGGGCTGCAGGGGCGCGGGAGGCCCGCTCCCGACCCTCGCCGCCTCCCACCCGCGGCCT